ACTTTGAACATAACTAATGGAGGTATTAAAGTGACTTAAATTTTGAAATTTTAATTAATTGAACTGGATTTTGGTTCAGATTAGGGTTATTATGCAGGGGTAAGTTCATGGGTACACAGTGGTAATGCTTAGGTCTTGCCTGGGGGTAAAACAAGATGTATGAGATGACCTGTAGCTGTTCATGTTCCTTACTTCTTCCATCTGCCTTTTTAGGATATGATTGGCCTGACTGTGTAAAGTTCAGATTACAGTTTGTGATCCAGTTAGCGTTGAGAATCAAAGGTTTTGGTCTTTGTGTGACGTAAACACCATAATTGTTTTATTTGTACACCAAACTGTCCCCAATATATATATATATAGGAAACTTAATATTTGCTTTGATCAGGTTCCCACCATCAGCTGGAAAGTTGGTCTGGAAAATATTTAACAGAATCAAATACAAAAGAAAACGAATTTCAGGAGCAGTACAAATATTTTATGCGACTCCAAAAACTCTTCAATCGAACACTATCCAAACCTGAAGCTCCCTTCATAAAACACATCTGAAGAAGCCTTTTGAGAGAGACTTTAAAGGTGTTTAAGAAACAAAAACAAGAAAATAACTCATATGCCTTTAGTTCAACAGTACAGGATCAAAATCTGCAACAACAACAACATCCATGCTTTAAAACCAGGGCCTACCACAGCTTTAAAAACACTCTTCTTTTCGGGTTACCCTTTATTTCAAAAAATGTATTGCTTAAACGCAATTCCCGCTGGTCTTCTACTCACTAACAGTGTGTGAAATAATAAAACTTGTTCATAACTACTATAATAAGCTGCTTCTAATAATAAACAAAGAGGCAGCCTGTCGTATCAACGCTATTTTAGGCAGGTGGGCGTGTTGAGTCCTGAACGCTCAAACGACACAGGAAGCTAAAAGATAAAAACATGTATTTTTTTACTCAAGATGCTTATTTTCACGCACATATCAAAAGTAAATATATTGAATTACCAGTTCGTATTCTGTTAATCCTGAGCTGCCTGAAGTTACCAACAGATAGCTTAGCGTAAGGCTAAGCGGCTCCTATATGACGTAACAGCGCCGTAAGTCTACCGATGTTGTCGCAATTGTCGTAAATTCCGGTTCTTATTCAGTGAATGGCTGCATCATTTGATTCGGTTCACCAAAAAGAGTCGGCTTATTTAAAAATACAGCTTTTTACTGTAGGTTTTGACTTTTTTTCTTCATAAAAATGCCTAAATGGGACTCAAAGTAATCAAAGCCTAACACATTTTAATACTTTCAGTTTAATATTTAAACTAAAAAAGTGTGTCAGGTGTGAACCAGATTTACCCTGGTATGCTGAAGGCAGATGTTGTGGGGTTGTCATGGAGGACTGTGGACCTGGGAGCTTTTTGTAAAAAGCAGGTCCGGTGAGTGTGTTCATGGAATCCCACTTATCGCCCTCCCTGGGATATTTTAATTCAAAGTTTTGGAGGAGAGGCTCTGAGCGATTGTTGAACCTTGGATTCAGGAGACGTGTGGCTTCCATCCTGATCGTGGAACAGTGGACCAGATGAGATCTTCACCCTTGCAGAGCAGTTTGTCTCTCCAGTCATGTTTTGAGGAACTGGAGAAAAGTTTTCGACCGAGTTCCATGAGGCGACTCTACAGTATGTGACGTGCTGCAGGAGCACGGGATGTCTGAGTTGCTTTTAAAGTAGACATATTTAAATCCTTTTTCACATTTAAATAATGAAGTTGGGGTCTTTGTAAAGTGGAACAKCAATGCTTTGGTTTGAACTTTGAACTTTGAACTTTACCAGCCCCTCTTTCACTCCTTTCCTGAGGGTGTGATAGCAGCTCGTTTTGATGCTGTTCCTTTAAATCCAAACAAGGCACTTCACACCCTGGTGTGGTTTGGAAACCTCAGGGTCTCATCTCTGCTGTTTGCAGATGATGTGGACCTTTGTGTCATGATCTGTGTGTCTTTGCTTTAGTTTTCTAGTGTTTCAGTGTTCCCCTGTGTATCTCTGCCCTGCTCCAGCCCCGCCCATGCTCACCTGTTTCCTCGTGTCTTCTCCAGGTGTTTCTTGTCCTTAATTTGTTTGCCTTTATATTCTGTGTTCTGTGTTCAGTCTGCATCGGATCATTGTTTTTGTGCTGCTTTCCTCAGCCTGTGTGATTCTCTCTGCTTCTTCTGAGATTTTGTAAGCTTTGGAGCTGTTTTTGAATTTATTATTAAAACATTTTTGCCATTTTGAAATTTTGACTGCACCCTGTCTGAATCTCACACTTTGGTGAAGAAAAAGTTGATTTGAAAGGCAATGCTCGTAATTCACTGGTTTGTCTATGTTCAAATCTTCACTTATGGTCACGAGGTGAGGATCATGACTGACACAATGAGATCTTGGATACAAGCGGTTAAAATGACCTTCCTTTGAAAGGTGGCTGGGCTCTGACATCTGGGAGAGCTTAGTAGAGTCGCTGCTCCTTCACATCGAATGGAGCCAGTGGAGGTGGTTCTGACATCTGGATGCCTCCTGAACACTGCCCTTTGGAGGTGTTTCGGGCATGGAAAGAGGCCTTGGTGAAGACCAAGAACCTGCTGGAGGGATTACACATCTTCTCTGCACTGGGTGGTCCCTTTTGCACCTGGCTATGGATAAGTGGTAGAAGATGGAGATGGAGTAATAACCACATACTTCTGCCTCTTAAAGTTCAGAATGTTTTCCAATTCAACTTATGGTTGCTGCACAGGAACTGAAGATTCTCAGTCATTCAGGTCATAATCAATCAATCAATCAATCAATCAATCAGTCAGTCAGTCAGTCAGTCAGTCAGTCAGTCAGTCAGTCAGTCAGTCAGTCAAATAAAAAATAAATAAATAAACTAGACA